GGGGGGGGGGCTGGTTGGCTAAGCAACAGGCGTTCGTGTCCGTCGTACGTCTAGGCAGAACGTATCAATTTCACAATAAAATTTTTCGACAGAAAAGCTCATTAATTTTTTTCATCCTGTGCACGTCTGCCCCCACTGTTCGCTCACCTTAATTATTCCATTCACATCAGCTGTGACACTCAACTGCAACCGTTGGAGTAGTAACGCAGCACTGATTGGATAATCATGTAACCAATGTACGTGGCTCAACCCTCGCACGAGTTCTTTCTCTTCCCGTGCCACCACATCTCTCGTGCACAATGGTTTTTGGAGATCAGAGTCAAACAACGGTGCACATTGCATCATTGTCCCACGCGCAGCCTCGTATTTCCAAGCGAACAGAAAGTCGCACTGCCGTGAGTCATCAAGTTCAATGCAAAGCCTATTTTTGTGTTGCTCGAACGGCCGGATGATTTGACTCCGACAGTAATTGTGTCTATCTTCCTCACGCAAATTATCATACAATCGGATTTGTTCATGCACTGTGAACAACGGCGTCCGTGTTCCGGGTAGGAGTGTGGTTTTAGTAAAGTGAATACTCCAAGAGCGCAAGAACATTGAAAGCTGTATCTGTGATGCAGATGAACGTGAGTCGAGGTTGTGTTTGGTCGCCTCATTCTGAGTAGTTCGCTCTTCCCCACTCGTGTATTCCAGTGAGAACAGAGCGTTCTGATTTCCAATAACGGATAAATGGAGCAAACGTCCGTCACAAACGGTGGATGTCCCGAGAGGCTGCAAAAAAGAAGGGTGGGGAGGAGAAGACAAAAAGCTTTCATATTCTTCATGTAGTCTGTTAATGATGACATCAAAGAAAAAATAAGACTATCAACGGTTTCGTTGCACAAATAACCAGCGCCTTATCAATCCAAAAAATCCTTACCCGAAACGGTAAGATTATTTTGCTTCCTTTATTAAAATTCAATTAATCATATAAAATCGAATTTCTAAACTACTAAAAGTTGTCTCAGTAGTGATTGCTTGTGGAAGCTCGAATTAAACTATAAGAAAAAGACTATAGTTAATCTAAACACTCAGAAAGTTGATCAAAAATGTGCAATCCGCGCCACAACTCATAGTATAGATGATCTCACCTGTATAAATTCGTGAATATAAAATGCATAAAATCGGTTTGGAAAATGCTTGAAAATCCAGTATTCCATTGAATATGGTGGCCTAATTGATGAATAGATATCAATAACATGCGGCAAAACTATAAGGACCCTTCGTTTATGGTTCAGACATTATGACTGTGTGGTTCACTCTGTGCTTCCTGACGATTCGATAATGTCAGTCAGGTGATCATCTGAAATTAAGTGTGTTTTGGGCCTAGTGAGTGCTATCTCTAGCATCCACATGCAATATAGCTAGAGAATAAGATTTGATTTGCTACCATTATTGTTGTCCTTTCTATTACACGAAAACTTATTACATCAAAATCACGGAAATGTAGTTACCGGCAGGAATTTGATCATTAAATTAGCTAGTCTTTTGCACTCTGGATGACACCCAGTTATGGCTGTAAGTATAACGGTGGTACTTTGAATGGGATGTCCAAGAAAGAACACTAGATAGCGGTTTCGTCCTCTTTGAAGCTCATCAGTAGTGCGTGTTTCTGTCTCTCGCCTTAATCAGACCTCTAACATTAGTGTTGAGAATCCAACCCCCTACTCCTGAGCTAGACTGTTCGCGGTCCACATTTTGAATGCCTGATGCCTGATGAGANCCCCCCCCCCCCCTTCGTGTACATTCACGTATACCTCTGGGACTGCAAAGTCAAAGTCAATTTTTTTATTATGAGAATAACTTACAAGCTCGTGCTTCTCTTGTCCCCATAGGATATTTACACAGATGAATCGTTACACACCGAAAAAGAAGTCACATATTGTGCTCGCAAAATTAGGGGATAACTGTCACAACTTCCCACAATGTAGGCATCGTGTCGGCTGAGTTACCTCCGATACACTTTCATATTTTGGTGAGAAATACTCGTGCATCGTTTGAGACATGTTACAGAGTTCTGTCACAAAAATGGACACATCGGTGGCTAGGATTTTGGTCAAGTGGCAACGAAAAATGATTTGAATAGTTCGCGCAATGAACTGATAAATCGATTCCCGGACATAATTCGTTAGTGGTTATGTAGTATAGCCATGCGTAGTTTTTCTATTACTCAATAGATCTCTTAAACATTTGTAAGAACGTCAATTTCGGTAATATAACTTGATCAATCCAAATAGAGAATTGAGTGAGGGCAGAGCGTGCCGAGTAGAACGAACATGGATTATCTAAACCATATATATATATATATATATATTTCACACACGTCTGAGCTCGGACTGTGTGCTAAACAAACCGCGGTACAATAATCTTCATAAAAAGAAAAACGTTCCACGATTTGCATCTGGATATATCACTACCAGGTTGCCCAGGCCAAGGCAACTACAACCGAAGCCGTCGGCTAGCCAAAGCCTGACTGGCAAGGCAGCGGGGCGGTGTGCAAAAACCGTAACCCATTGGGATCCGGTGTCCAGTTCATCGAATCCCAGGCAATATGATACATGCAGGACGAAGACTGATCGTCCACTTGGTCACTTGGGTGATTTGTCAAACACAAGTGGATCTTGTGGCAGACACAATCTGAACCCAAGCATTCACCCTCACAGACGACATGTTCTTGTGATGCTAGAGTAGAAGTTACACAGGTACTGAACGGATATTTGGCAATTAAAACCAATATATTGTTTAAAAGCGTTTTGGAATGGAAAAATGGTAATAAGCGATAATACGTTGTAGGGGATAAAATATTTTGAAGATTTAGACTATTATCATGGTTCATGTTACAACAAGACGAACGTCCACTTGATCATAACAGCAGCACTAATTTAACCAACTGTGAACAAAATTGGACATAAATTGAAAATGTTGATTGTTGTCAACTTTATGGGAAAAGGAAAGCTGTGCATTAAAAAGGCCGTTGAACCACTTATTAATATATCATTTCACGCAACTTTGGGGAGACCACTACCATCAATTATACTAAGAATTTGCACTGATAGTAAGCAGAAACCATGTTCGCGGTATACACCGACCGGCGTGAACTACAGCAGAGAGTAGAAGAGGCAACCGAAAACGAGAGGTTAGTTAGCTGGCACGGACTGTTGGTGAACTGTTCGAGAGGTCGAGTGTATGCTGCTACAGTTCATTCAGTTTCACAATACGGTACGGATTAATTTGGAGAAGATTAGCATCTCAAATTAGAAAAATATCGTGTCTCCTGTATCATCACTCCAAGTTATTTCTTCAACTGATACTCGGCTCTCACCTATGGCTCTGAGAAACTGCCGGTGTTCCCTCCCTCCAGTCATACCCGGAATAAGCCGCTCAACAGGCGCACTAAACCAGTTTGGTGTAAGCTGAAACGCTTGAAAGCAATTTGGAGAAACAGTACTCCATCACCTTGCAGTTCACAGTTTAGTATGTAAAGTTTGGAGGTGCACCATCGAATAAAAAAGTACAGTGCTTTTGGGGACAACAATTTGTATCGGGTTCCCGTAATTATTTCGCAGACATCTGGAGTGAACTCAGCAAAGTTGGATGTGAAATACCGAGGTCCACAGTATGTTCACGGATTCCGGCTATACCCAAACCTCTGCACAAGCCACCCCATTTGGAATACCGCCGTTCGAGATATACAGGAAGACAGTTATCTGGCTCATCGTTTAGCAAGAGACAGATATGAAAAAGAAACTGAAATCAGATCAGAGTCATCGATCGGTATTACCGGTAGACAATAACCTGCGGCACTCAGAGGTTCAGTGAAGAGAGTCGTTGACATAACAAACGAGAAGTCCAATCTAGAAGAAAGAAAAATTGCGCCTGTTATGCACACTAGTCTCAACGATACCCGGATTATAGCGGGTCGTGCTCAGTTGGCCTTCGTTCATACTCAGGTAGGTCATCTGCAGCAAATAAAATGATGGATGCATCGAAGCATGTTTCATTGACTACGAAGAAATCACCTTGCAACCTCATAATCCATAAAACAGGGCTGTGACTATCCCGATTTAGAATGTACACCAAGACGAAGGTAAAGATGATGAGATCATCACGCCACGCCTCCGCAGACAGTAAAATATCCTTGTAGTAACTCTCCGTTTGTGATAGAAAGCCAACCGTATCGGCGCGCCCTACGATTGTCTGCGCTACTTTTGTGTTCCCTATCGCATTGGAATTTACTGCTATGTTTCTGACATGTCCTCTCGACATTCGTATCCCAGAGAGTTATTCCTACACCTAAACAAATATTTATTAATCTTTTGTTTTATGCATTTCAAATGGTTCTGCCCGAACTGGATTTTGTGCTCCGAGTAAGAGTGCCGGGTGGCAGAGTGCGGTTGAACACATTCCTCCTGTGAAGATGACGGTTCCCGGATTAATCGGTTCCAACATTCGCTGGCTATTAAGCAAACTGACTGACCTCATGGATCTACTAACTCATCGCGTGCACACAAACACGTGTGTAATATGCATACAGGAATTTTGGCTCAACCAAAACATAGACTATTCGCTGGCCAACATACTTGGTTTTGAAAATTTTTCGACAAGACAAATAAAAGAAGTCCCGAGGCGGTGTAGTGACCTACATTAACTCCAGTTGATGCGGCAAGTCCGAATCGTTGTTTGTTTTCTCCTCTTATGTTACTGACTGCCTAACTGTTTCATGTCGACCTAGGTTTTCCCCTTATCGGGACACAATAATTACCAATGTAAACATTGTCCCTTCTTGCTCACAAATTGAAATCAGCTCTTTCTAAGATGCAATATTTCCTTTCATTGCTCCCTTAGTTGACGATAATTTAATTTTAACTGTTAGTGATTTTATTCACGGATAAACTTACCTCTACTTTCTTTCGGTCTATCAGATTTTCTTTAACGCCCACCAGAGAAAAGGCTATTTTTGACAAGGTTATTATTAATCAACCCAATATTTTCTCCCTCAAACTAAAAACACCAATCTCGTCTAGTGACCACTGTCTCCTATATGCTAGACCAAATTTGGACTTACCCCGCTTTTATTCAAACAAAACAAATAAACATCAAAATTCGGAATCTTTCAGCCGACAGACTCCATCACCTGGGGAAATCTCTTGCTATCATCTGTTCATGGTTTTCCGTTCAACAGTCTCCCTGTTCTGGTGAACATTTTACAGAAACGGCTAGTGAGATTTTCAATCTATGCTGTCCTATGGAAACAGTTTTTGTTCACACTGGCATAGTATGCTCTCCGAGGTTAAAATCTCTTAGAAGACAAAAATAACTAGCTTTCAAGATGCATCAAACAGCCACTGTCAAACAGCTTACACCGAAAATCAGTGCAGAGATCAACAGACTGCTTCATTCACAAAGTAAGTTCTGGGAGCTGTAGCTGGAAGACGATTATGGCAAGGGATCAGATTGCTTTGCGGACAGAAGAAACGAACAAGAAACAAAATTACTGACGTGGACAGCTTTCAATACTGCATACATTTATCCTTTGAATGATCTCCTGTCTCCGTACCCCACAGATCACCTATCTACCATAGACCCGGTCACCCATGAGGTCTATCATCTTCTCAAAACAACAAAAATCACGAATGCAGGTGGCCCCGATGGTCTGTCTTCGTCATTGCTCAAATATGGCGCCAGCTCAGTCACAGAGATGTTTGCGTCCCTTATTCACAAACCATTTACACATGTTCGATTCCGGATTCCCGGAGATCGTTCACTATTCCTAAACCCTCTTCATCTAGCATTCTATCTAATCGCTTTCCTCCAATCGCCATCACCTCCTCTGAACTCACATTTGCAGAGCGCGCTATTTTCACCCGTTTACAGTCTAGTACTATTGTTCCCAATGTCCCCCTCCAGTTTGCGTACACTTTGGATACCGTCTCTTCAATGATGCACTTTATTTGCAAATCTTTAGATGATTCTCAAAGGTCGGCTTGTTGTGTTTTCCTTGACTACTCTTCCGCTTTTGATTCCGTTCCACGATCTCTTCTTCTGCAAAAGTTACAGTCATTCGGTTGCCCCACCAACTTGTTCTTATTGTTGAAAGATTATTTCACAGGAAGGATTCGAAGAACGAAAGCAAACAGCACTACTTCAAAACCGTTAGAGAATAATTCTGGAGTCCTTCAGGGTGCTGTGCTCTCTCCCTTCTAATTTTCAACTTTCATCAGTGACTTACTCTCAATTCCACCAGCCGAAACCTTCAAATATGCAAATGATTTAGTCATATGGCAAGCCATTTCAAACCAATGGAACATAAAAGCATTTTCCGACAAGTTGTTGTAAATGCAATCACTGTCGAACCAATCCGGTCTGAGGCTGAATACTTCTAAATGCTTTGAATGCATTTTTAGTCTTTCCCGATCCGAATGCCCCTTGGAACCCTCGATCATCAATTCCCTACCCAACACCAGAATACATACCACGAAATACCTAGGAGTTACCATAGCTAGCAATCTACGGCGGTCTTCTCATGTGCTAGCCTGTGTTGGTAGGCTGCGTCACTTATCTTTTTAAATACGCAAGCTACGACAATTTTGACAGGCATGAAACTGTATATTCCTTTGTTTATCAATACATTTTTCTGTCATACTTTATTGTTCGCCCGTTATTCTCCCTGGTCTACTTAGAAAAGACTTCATTACTCTACGTCGCGGTTTAGTAATTATCAGCCGTGTTTCTTTTATTCCTTCGAACACTGTGATCAAAAAATCGTGTAATTGGCATATCACTTTATGTGAGAATTCCACTCATCAGATACTCAATGACCCTAGTCATCTACTCAATCCCGATTTATCTGCTTGTCGTTCCCACGCTTCAACCCGATACAATTTTCGCTGTTTGCCCTCCTGTATAAACATTTATCGCAACTCTACGGTTCTCTACCTGACTCGTATTCTCACTGACAGGGTGAGGATCTGTAAAGAACTAACTTTAAACTTACAAAAATGAACGCTTATTTGAGTTTTATCACTGTTGTATATTAATTTTCATTTCATTTTTTATCCCATTTTAACGGTGAACACATTTTTGACTGAAATGTAGGCACAGTTACCTGCACAAGTCATCTGCAATACAATACAATACATATGCACGCACGATCGTAACTGGCGGATGAGAACCTGAAATCAAATACAGGATGTGTTCATATTGAACAATGGCGGAACCCAACACAGTCGATTTACGCACAGAATTCTAACATGTTTGGGTATTTTTCCGGATTGCACTTCATTATATTTGACTGGGTAATACAGTTTACCCTGGGGGGGGGGTTAGAGAAAAGTGAATGAAAATGTTTGGGAAATTTACCTTCATCTTAGTCCAGTCCATTATCATCAGCCTTTGTCCATTCCATTTCCAAATCACACATAGATTCGATTCGGGAAGACAGGTGAACTGTAACAGGTTTTCCGCGTCACAAGCCGAATCCCCAATGCATGGTGTCCTGTCTCGATTGTCTTTTTTACCGGTATTACACTGTGGATTGTCATCCCGAGCCATTTCCTGTTCGCTTACTGCTGTGCTCGAATCCAACTCCTCTTTCAACGATTCGATGTCGAGTGACGCAGTCAGTACGCCAGTTTGTGGATCATAGATGTGTGCCATTTTATCACCAACCAACAAAATTCGATTGATTGGACAGGGCGCGAAAAAGCACTGCAATATTGAATCGGTGGTCTTGTTAAGTGACTTGTTGGAACGCTTACCATTTAAAATTTAAAAAGTATATTGTAGCATGTGCAAGGGCTAGTTGTACAATATATACTTTGCTTCACTTCAGCGTTCTATCCCGGTATTCATTGAAGGTCACCATTAAATTATTTCTCGCTAACTGTTTTCGCGTCGGATTCTCCACTAGGAAACAACGATTTTACGGATTAAACATAAATCGTGCAATTTCTCGCTGACAATGATGACTATTTTCTACCCAACAATGCAAACTATGGTTTGGATCCAGAAGCATGAGTACGCAGGATTTCGTGACAGTTCTACAACCCGGAACTCAATGCTTATCCCCTCTTCGGTCAGAACTACTATAACATTCAAATTTGGAACACTACCGTGTTCAACCTACGTCTCCAATTCACCTTGTTGTTTATTTTATCTGCATTTGGCGGAATATAAATATTGCTAGCTTCACAAGGAATATGGCCAACTGTGACTGCTTCCGTTTTAACCGTACGGAGTTGACTTGATATTCGATTCTCAAATGATCAACTTCGGATAACGGTTTTATTGTGCGGATATCGATTACATAAGTAGTAGTAGTAGAACACAGCAGGAAGCGTGTGGGAATTCATTTATTTAGGTTATGGTTATTTTTAGGGAAGAAAGAATATATCGGAATACATGAACCAAAGTATTGATTGATTGGACTGTTGATTGGTTGGTGGTTCCAACCAATCATCTGGATACGACTATCCTTGTTCTGATTGGTTATCTCAGAACAAAGTAGAGAGAAGGCCAACTTACTGACAGAAAACAATGCAGAATAAAAATAACGCTTTTGTCGTAGTTTACACCATTTTTAAACGGTTTGACAAGTCTTAGGCTACTTTTATTATTTACCAGAATGTTTTTAACTCCTTGGCGATCAAATGGTATCTCAAATCTCCAACCTCTCAGGGTAATCTAATAAGTGATGTATAAATTGCTCTATTTTGTCCACGGAGACACCAGTTTGTTTTATGGTGCATGTTTACTCTTTTTTGAGTTTTTCCTAATGTTCAATCTCAATTATGGGAGGTCTTGACCATAAATTTACCTAAAATTCCCAGATCGTTGAAAGACGTCGATTCGGCGAGTCGGTGAAGTTGTGCAATTCGCGCGAGACACCTAAGTTAAACCCGACTCGATAAGCACGAAGGCTGAGGTGAGCTACAGCTAAAGCACAACTGGTCGTAGTTCCTCGGACATCGACGATAACTCAATGACCAAGGCTAGCCCCAGCAACTTCGACCAAATACGAGTTCAGTGACTGCAGTGTACTTAGAGCGATGCATTCATCATTAAGTGAATCAATGGGGCTTATGTGAATAGCAAAAGTTGTTGAGAGGCTTGGGTCGAAGTTATCAAGGTGAACTCTATGGATGGAACCGTTGATCAGCAATGATCTGACGTCACAACCAGCTATAACCGAAATATTGTTCACCCATTCTGGTCTCAACCCGTAGAATGAAACAGAACAGAACGCAAACGATCTGTTTGGTGAAAGGCGACATTTTTTAAGAATAAAAGTGGATACTCGTTGGTGAACAACTCAATCTTAAAATGGTATAGAAACAACTAAATAGTTGAGTATAAAATCCAATATCCTGTCTGATGTAACAACCTAGAATAAGTAAATAGATCTCCGTATAGCGTTCGCGCTGTAGCAGTTCGGTTAGCCCTGCTCTACGGAGCAGAGAATTGGCTATTACGAGCACAGGATGAAAATAGACTTTCCGTGTTCGAACCCCACTTTCTACGTCACATTGTACGCGAATCTGATGGGGAAACCCGACGAGCGATGCTGCGACTTCCGAAGCTCTCGTCAGATAATGTAGGACAGTTTTGTGGAAAGGGAAGATGCGATTAGTTAGACAGTTGCGCTTGAGCATACGACCATGATATCGGCGGTTTTGAGTCACCTAATAGACGTCAGTTTACAGGAACCTGAAAATAAAATGTGGATCACTTGCTGTAATTGGCTAAACAGTCTCAAAGAGTACATTCCACATAGAAGAAAGAGTGGATCACTCTGAGTGTACGTGCCAAAAACAGAGGGTGATATATAAGGGAGGAGAATAATTTTATCCTGGGAGAATAGAAGAATAGACATTTCTTCTTGCATGATATGATGAATGAACGAAATCCCATTCTGTAGGCATCGTCGAAACAAACTGTTGGTTTTATCACAGGATGCACTTGTCATGGTTGAGTTGAGTCAGTTGATGATTGTTGACGGTGACCGGAATGCAATCATCTATAAAATACAGGTGGACCTTTCTTATTGCAGGTTAATCACAAAACAGACATCCAAAATAACATTTATCAATCAGCCAACAGCGAAGTACACGTGTCCTTTATCACAATGGGGTAGTGAATGTTTTTCTAGAATAAATTTATTGTAGTAGTCCCTTTCTACTCGTGGTCTCAAACCAGTGGATAAAGTATGCGGATTTCTGATCAGATATTCTATCGAAATGACGTGCCTTAAATTGTTTTGATGAACCGACGGCTGTCGTGAACACAAAGCAAGAAATTGTTGTAATCACAATTTGTTTAGTGCTGATCTGTATTTCGCAGAAAAAGTGCTCTGATGTTCTTGCACGAATGTTTCGGTCTATAGGCTGCGAGTAAGAAGAAGCTGATTATTAGTACACTCTCGCCATAGTGTTTCGCATCAAATTCCAATTAGTTTGTGAATAATTGCTTGATACAAATTCAATCATCGTAGATTTTCACATTTTCTGATCGATAATGGTGGCTTCGGTAAGCATCATATTAAGGTGGTTTTCTCATCGTGAAACGTACTCGACAAATGGGAGTGTCCTTATCAATTTCGCGCACCTTTCGCTATTGCTTTTCGGCTAGCTTTTCTTGACAATAAGATTGTTCGAAGCCAGTTCGCCAACAGCAACTTGTGAAAGTCATATTCTAGTCTTATCCCATTAAACGTATATTTTGTGGTGGAAGGTTGTTTGACAGGACTACATGATTTCAGTGGCAGATATGATCTAATCCCAAGTCCATACTCAGAAAGGTGGACTTTTGAAAAATGTCCCCATTTTGACCTTAGAATTTCTTATAAAACTGCAATAGTATCATAAAATTTATTATATATTTTGGCAGCTCGCGTTACGTTAATTCAATTGCATTGGATTTGATAACGATATCACATTTCGTTTTGGATTTGTGGCCAAAATGGTTATTTTGATTGTTTTGTACTTGTATTTTTTGCATTTGTAACTTTTGTAAGCATGTATGCTTACATTTCAGTTAAAAATGTACATTGTTCGTCGCGCAGAATGAAATAAAAATAA